TTATTCTTGCTTTTTAAGCAGGAGAGAGTGTGCAAGCAAGAGAAAAGAGAGGGAGAAGGCGGGCGGGCGAGGGAGGGAGGGAGGGAGGGAGAGCGAGAGGAGGGGGAGCAGGCTGTGGAAAGCAGGGGCTGGGAGCTGTCTGGCTGGTGACAAGGGCAGAGAGAGAGAGAGAGAGAAGCAGGAGATGGAGAGAGCAGGGTATTCCTGCACGGTGCCGTTCTGCGTGGGTTTGAAGAAGACCTTCCACTGGAGAGATCTGAGGGACCCTTGTTCATGATGCGTAACTCGTCTAAACCTTTAGCGTGAGATGCAGCTTCCTCTCTAGAATTAGGCATGATTGTCTTGCGTGTCTGTTTTATTGACATCCCCGACTGCTTGACGCACTGATCACCGGAGGCGTGATGAATAGACTCTGTATGGGGACACTGGGATCTCTCTCTATGGACTTACCGTAAACATTTCCAACGATCCAAGTGGCATTTAGACTGACTCCTCAGTTTGACTCTTCAGTCTGTCAGCATCTCCTCCACTCGCCGTGGAGCAGGTTGGTGAAACGATGTGCCTTGATCTGAGGTTACCAGTTCTGCATGTCTCCCAGATGTAATTTTACTCTTTGTCGTCCTTGAAGGAATTTTCGAGCCCGTTTCGTTCTCGTGTATTGTCATTTTTGCCTACGAATCTGTCTCTTGTTGAATTTAGTCAATGGAATCGGGAGCATGCTTTTCATGCAGGTGTGGAGAGGTGGGCACATGTCTGCATGCTTAAAATAGGTGTGAGAGGACAGCAAAATGAAGAGAATGAAGTCTAGGACAAAACATGAAGGTGTGAAAGAGCACAAAGGACATTAGCTACATTTTTTCCCAGTCTAGGGAACGAGGTCACGGTTCACTTCTTTTTGACATACTTGCCTGAATTGTCTCTTTCTGTGAATTCTTTGATTTCTTTCCGCTGTAGAAGCCACTGAACATTATTTGACTCTTTGAATTTATTTTCTGTCCTTGGTCTGTTGAGAAATTCTGGACCACATGAACCGAACCGGGACGTCACAGCCAAAAACCACCTACCTTATCTCCCTCACGCTGGTGAAGGTAGAAACCACTGAGGAGAATGAGTTGGAGAGGTCCAGGCCGGCTGTGGGGGGAGCAGTGTACGATTCTGATGGAGCGAAACATCTCAAGCACACTGGATCCAGTAATGAGGGCCAGGAACGGCAGAAAATGGGTGAGGCTGTTGAGCTGGAAGCTGGAGAATCTGTCAAATTCTCTGTGGAACAGGAAATACTCCAAAGCCCAAGGGAGGACAAGGCACGTTTTGCAGATGGTGTTCATCCCCAAAAATCAACGATCTCACCCTCCACAGAGAATGGAAGAGCCAGAGAATCCACTGAAATCCCTCAAACCTCTTTCCCCCGGGATGTAGCCAGGCATCTTGGTGACATCCCAGTGCGTGCGACCCAGCGGCCCGTGTCACTCCTTAAAGCTCACGGCGGTGGCCGTGAATTCAAGGAGTCCAGAGAGAGCATCCATGCCTCCTCCAAGAGCCTTGACCGTAAGGACAGTCGGACCAGGATCCAGTCCCCAACCAGCCCGACTCCTGGATCTTTTCGGGCATCGTGGGCTGTAAGCGAAGTGAAACCTTGCGATGAAGACCCGATGAAGAGAGGGGGTGTTGGGATGAAGAGGCCCACTGAAGGGGACATCATAGCCATGCGAACCCAAAGCCCTCGAGCAGAGAGATTAAAGTCAGGATCTACATCTCTTCCGACCCCTGTCGCCTTGATTACCAAGCCTCAACGCAAAGGAAAGAGTCGCACCTTGGACAACAGTGACCTGAACTGTCTGTCCGAGGACCTCCTGAAGTGCAAAGGTGGTCAAATGGTAGCAGACTTTAGAACAGCTCAGTCCCAGGGGGCTTCAGCACGTGACCGCAAGATGCTAAGATTTATTAGTGGCATTTTTACCAAGAGCACTCCAGTTGCAACCAGTGCAACCATTGTGACCCCGGTCTATAGCACCATTCAGAGGGAATCCAGTGAGGAAGAAGGTAGGAGAACATGACTTACTCATCCATACACAACTCAAACACTCGGATAAGTAGAAGTAGGATTGTTTGGTTAGCACATTTTGTAAATGAGGGCTTCCTTGTATATGAACATCTGCAATGCATCTGCAAGTTTTCTAAATGCTACATTTACATTAAAGGGATTGTTCAGCCCAAAATGGTGCCATTCTAAACCCAAATGACTTTATTTCTTCCGTGGAACACAAAAGGAGATATTTAAAAAAATTTATTTTTATCTATGCAGTGAAAGAGTCTAAAACAATATTGGACCCCACTGATTTTTATTGTCTGGATTCCTTTTGTATTCCAAGGAAGAAAGAAAGACATACAGGTTTGGAATGGCATGAGGACGGATGGCACTTTTTATTATTTATTCAACTGATATAGTGTTCTTCTTGTTTAGGTTCACATTCATTTTAAAAACTGACATGTGGAAGTCTATACACACATTTAGGGGAATTCTGGTTTTATTAATTCTAATGCCTAGGGATGTAGATTTAAGACACTGAACGCATCCTAGCCTTTTCTTTATAACCACCCCCTACTGTTTCTGTTTCTGCACTGGAAAAATTGGAATTGGAAACAAATTTGATAATACCCATGCCACAGGCATCATAATTTTGCCCAACATCCTAATCCCATCTTTGATGTTCCGCCCACTTCCTGTATTCTGATCTCATTCTTTCACGGAAGCTTCAATCCTTTCAAAACCAGCCTCTTAATTTCAAACCATATCCATCCATGAATTTTAGCACTCTAAACTGGAGGTGAAGCATTGGTTTTAGACGCAGGCAGTATCTGAATCCATAGGCAGCTGGATGGATAAGCTTCACTTTTGCCACATGCATTTCAAACCCGCCCGAGCAAATTAAGTCGGTTTTGCTTCTAATGTTGCAGAGATGCCTTCAACTCATTTATATGCAGAGCTTGCTGAACAAAAGATTCATTTCAAACAACGTCTATATTTCTCGACAATATAGATTTGATAATTAGGCTCCTCATTTGCTAAGATATAATTGGTAATTGCTCAAATGCACAACTCAATATAGGGGTGTGTGGTCTATATCCTACGAGCAAAAGGTCTGATGTGTCTGTACACACAACGCATGCGCATACAAAATATTTACGTATGTGTTCTCCGAGTGAACAGAAGCAGTGGCTGGAGGTGGGGTTGTCATGGCAACAGGGAGGGCTGAGAGAGTTGCCTGTTGTGTGGCTGTGTTATGGCAGGGAGCGAGCCACAGATGAAATGAATGGGAGTGAGGGTATGCGAGGAGGGGTCCTTTTGAAAACGAGAGAGACCAGCTTTAGAATTTGACACATAGAGCGTCCGTTTAGATGGAGGGGGTGGCGTGTGGTATATGGCACATAAGGATCGCACTGTCTAACCGCACTGGCTCGACTCCTGATGTGCCCCACCGTACAATAACCTCATAGAATTGCGCTGAATTAAGAGGGGGTTAAATCTCTTCCGTTGTGTCGTGGGTGGCGCGTGAGAGAGGAAGCTGCAAACGACACGAGTGCCAAATCAGATCGTACCCCAATCTAAGCTGTGAACTCCTGCATCTGTGCTTCGTGAGACACACCGAACAAAAGCATCTCATCCACCGCTTGATGCACCCACAGCTGTGAAGGCACACAAAAAATGAGATGACATGCCTGTCTATCACTGGGTGCCGGGTCTGAACCGCTGGTGAAAAATAGTGAGCGTGTGCTAAGACTTCCAATATAAAGCGGAGAGGGGTGTGGGAGCTCCATGCTCGCTGCTGCACGGATACACCTGCAGTCCTTCACGCCCTGTGAATTATCAGAGATTTATAACACCTCCAGATGAACCGTCATCCGAGGCTACGGTGCAATCAAAATGCACTTCGATGCAGCATAGAAATGTGTAACAGAAGGGCAACGCCTGATCTGTGTTTAAACGGACACAGATTGGTGTAAGAATCAGAACGCAGCCTTAGGCCTGAACTGACTTTGATAGTCACGAAAAATAACGTTGTTAGACGTGACGTGATAAGGTCATTAATTCTGCTGCTCAGTGAGTGTTGTGATCACCGTGTAATCATAAAATCGTGTCAAACTCGCTCTTCCTGTAAGTGAGTCATCTGAAGTTTCACGTCACTGACATCAAGGGTCAGAACGAGGGGATTTAAGCCGTAGATCAATATGAGAGAACTTTTTTGGAAAACAGAAATGCGGTAGCTGACCTACCGAGACATAATATTCATAAATCAGCACATATCCCATTCCATTTTCTGTTATATGATTCATTCATCTATTTTTCTGTTGTACTTGTATTAGTGGTGCTTGCTAAGCACCTCTAATGTAGACCAGAATATGACCAAATATAGAACCCCAAATTGATCTGAATTAGATAGTGCACTTAGATACGAGACTCTTCCTGTTTACCTTCTTTTTGTCATTGGTTTTATACCATGCCAATGGAACACCTTTCGAGATATCAAAAATCTGTTTCGGCATCTTCAGTGTTTTGGTGTAATGTTGACTAAGTTTGGCGATGATCACATGAGTGTTTAAAAGCTTGAAAAAAAATCCAAATTCAATCCAAAATAGCCTATTTCATGTTGGGCGGAGCTAATGACTATAGTATAGAAAGTTGTCCGGCTTCATGAGAATGAGTTTGGTGACTGCAGGTAAAACTAACCCCAACACTTCAGTCAAAAGGGGTCACCCTGTTAAATATAGAATATACAACTTGGAGACAGATTTTGTTTTCTTTGGAAACCACCCAAAACCACTTAGAAACTGAATTGCAACACATTAAAACACAAACACATTAAAAGCCTCTCAAACACACTGCAGTGTCATAGCATGGGGGAGAGGTGTTTTTGTCTTTGATTTGAAGTTATGACTTAACTTTGACTTGATTTTTTTGTCAGCATCATGTGCCAATAGCCAGGAATGGACCCTAACTCGTGCTATTCCAGAACTGCGATTGGTGAGAAAAACACTTACTTATTTATTTATTTATTTTTTAATTCCTTAAGCATGTAAACAACAATTTCATTGTCAACAAATAATTTTAGGCATACATCTATGAAAACAATATTTCAGTTGGTTAAGTGCACTAAAAAGATTTCTTTTAAAATTTTGTCATACTGTTGAGTAAGGATACATCCTTGCCTCTAGGGAAAAAAAATCTAAAATGAGATCTCTTTAAAATCCAAAATGTTTCTACTAAACACCAACAAAATTAAAAGAGGATAAATGGAGACTTTTGCTTAAATCCTGCTTATGCTTCTCATGAGAAAAGACCCTAGTAGTCTCAAATGTGTCCTCAGGAGTTTCAGATGAGATCTGTTTTTTGGAGTAAAATATGATCTTTCTGCCGCATACAGGGGGTTCTGGGTAGCCTTCGCAGCGGAAAATCTGCTCTGGTAAACAGATTCATCACAGGAAGTTATCTTCCACTTGAGTCGCATGAGGGTGAGAACTTTGTTCTTTCTCATCTCTTCTATGAAGACTGTCATTTTAACCGTTTAGGGGTATTATTGTTATCTTATCTTTCGCTTTTGTCCTCTTTTTCTTCTCTGGAAGGCGGAAGGTATAAAAAAGAGGTGTTGGTGGAGGGACAGAGTCATTTATTGCTGATCCGAGAGGAATGAGATCTAAACAATGTCATACTGATATAAATGTTGTTTTTTGGAGTAAGAATATTTTCTTTCTGCTGCATACAGGGGGTTCTGGGTAGCCTTCGCAGCGGAAAATCTGCTCTGGTAAACAGATTCATCACAGGAAGTTATCTTCCACTTGAGTCGCGTGAGGGTGAGAACTTCGTTGTTTCTCATCTGTGCTATGAGGACTGTCATTTTAACCATTTAGGGGCATTATTGTTATCTTATCTTTCGCTTTTGTCCTCTTTTTCTTCTCTGGAAGGCGGAAGGTATAAAAAAGAGGTGTTGGTGGAGGGACAGAGTCATTTATTGCTGATCCGAGAGGAATCTGGACCACCAAGTGCACAGGTGTGTTCATTTCTGCAAAGTACACTTGAGACAGAAACACAGTATGCAAGACAGAAATATTTGGCTAAAGTTTGCATCTTCCTCTTTTTTATACTTAACTGTAGTGTGGCGGTAACAAACCACCAGCAAGTTGTCCGGCCCGTTAAACCAGATGTGTTTAACTAGAAACTGAAGAAGAATTTTTGCAATTACGTAACAGAAAATATAGGAAATATTAAGAATTCTGCATTCTTATGTTTTGTTATGAATTGCTTCTGACACATTTTGAATGCACAAAATTGAGCTTGCGTAGCAAGAAACATTTGCATGTACATATTCATGTAGAGTATATTTTGGGGCCTTATAATGCCAAAAGATGAAAACTCACAAGTTCAAAACAGAGATAAACTTTTACTTGCATTCAAAAGTTTGGATTCAGTAATTTAAAAAAAAAATTTTTTTGAAAGAAGTCAGATTCATCAAGGCTGCATTTATTTGGTCAAAAATAAAGTAAAAACAGTAATATTGTAGAACACTATTACAAGTTCAAATAACAGTTTTTTATTTGAATATATTTTAAAATGTGAATTATTCCTATGATTCCAAAGCTGAATTTTCAGCATCATTACACCAGTCTTCAGTGTCACATGATCCTTCAGAAATCATTCTAATATGCTAATTTGCTGCTCAAGTAACATTTCTTATTATTGTCAACTTTGAAAACAGCTGCTTAATTTTTTTTTGTAGAAAATTTGATTTAAAAAAAATTCTGGATTCTTTAATGAATACAAAGTTCAAAAGAAAAGCAATTATTTGAAATTGACATCTTGTGTAACAATCGAAATATCTTTACTGTCACATTTGAACAATTTAAAGCATTTTCGCTAAATAAACGTATTGAATTCTGAAAAAAATCTAACTTTTCTGACCTCAAACTTTTGAACAGTAGTGTATTCTGCTATATTCATGTAGAGTATATTTTGGGGCCTTATAATGCCAAAAGATGAAAACTCACAAGTTCAAAACAGAGATAAACTTTTACTTGCATTCAAAAGTTTGGATTCAGTAACTTTAAAAAAATTTTTTTTGAAAGAAGTCAGATTAATCAAGGCTGCATTTATTTGGTCAAAAATAAAGTAAAAACTGTAATATTGTAGAACACTATTACAAGTTCAAATAACAGTTTTTTATTTGAATATATTTTAAAATGTGAATTATTCCTATGATTCCAAAGCTTTACACCAGTCTTCAGTGTCACATGATCCTTCAGAAATCATTCTAATATGCTAATTTGCTGCTCAAGTAACATTTCTTATTATTGTCAACTTTGAAAACAGCTGCTTAATTTTTTTTTGTAGAAAATTTGATTTAAAAAAAATTCTGGATTCTTTAATGAATACAAAGTTCAAAAGAAAAGCAATTATTTGAAATTGACATCTTGTGTAACAATCGAAATATCTTTACTGTCACATTTGAACAATTTAAAGCATTTTCGCTAAATAAACGTATTGAATTCTGAAAAAATCGTACTTTTCTGACCACAAACTTTTGAACAGTAGTGTATTCTGCTTTAAAGGAATAGTTCACCCCAGAGTATTTGCTGAAAATTCACTCACCCTTAAACCATCCAAGATGTAGAGGAGTTTGTTTCTTCATCAGAACAGATTTGGAGAAATTTAGCATTAGATCTCTTGTTCACCAATGGACCCTCTGCAGTGAATGGGTGCCGTCAGAATGAGAGCGCAAACAGCTGATAAAAACAACACAGTAATCCACAAGTAATCCACATGACTCCAGTCCATCAATTAACATCTTGCGAACCAAAATGCTACATGTTTATAAGAAACAAATCCATCATTAAGGCATTTAAACTTTAAACCATTTGCTTCTGGCTATAATGAATGTTAAATTTTTCCAAATCTGAGAGTGATTAACTATCAGCAAATTGTAATTTTTGGTTGAACTATTTCTTTAAAAGCTATTCCTTTTTTCTATCTTTTTCATTCCTAATTTGTGATTGTAGATCTGCAACTGGCTTGATGGCGTCATCCTAGTTTTTAGTCTGGAAAATGAAGCAAGTTTCCAGGATGTGTACAAGAACTACAGTGAGCTAAGCGCACATCGTAACATTGCAGAAATCCCCATTATAGCGGTTGGAACGCAAGGTTAGAGCTACTTTTGTCTTGGTTTCGGGGTGATATATTGAGCGATATGACATTGCGTACAAACTATATGTTTGTTTTTCTTCCTGCAGATAAGATTAGTAGCACTAATGCACGTGTGATTGAGGACAAGAGAGTCCAGCAGCTGTGTATAGATGTGCGTCGCTGCACTTATTTTGAGACCTGTGCCACATATGGACTTAATGTGGACAGAGTATTTAATGAAAGTGAGTTTCATCTCAAAATAGGGGCTAAAATAGCACAATACTTCTGAACAGGATGCAAGTGTTGATTGGACAATCTTGTTTTCCCACTTAGTGACTCACAAGATTGTCGCTGCCAAGAAGCAAGCCGCCCTTCTGGCCTCCTGTAAATCCCTCCCAAACTCTCCGAGTCACTCAGGGGCCTCGACTCCAGTGTCAGGGCCCGGACAGGTATCTCAGGCCTCATGAGTCTGTCTGATGCTTGGGTGAATCTCATGAAAGCTGTCAAAAATGTCTGGGTCACTTTCTCCTTTCTTTCAGTTCTAAATGCAAAAAAGATGTAAATGTAAATTTAAAAGAAAAATGTAAATAATAAATTAAATTAAACACTTGAATTTATGTAATGAATTATATTATATATATTTTTAAATATCTTAAACATAACATAATTTTTTTAAAATATGACCTGGACATTTCTTTGTGAGATTGACACTTTTATCTTTATAATTCTTGTGAAGTATTTTAATTAAAACCGTGATGGTGTTGTTCTGTCAATATTGTTGGAGTGTAAGAAATTGCTAAAAATCTGATGCATTAAATATTCTATGCTTACTTATATGCTATGCAGAAAATCACAACATTTTGGTTGAATTTTATTTCAGTACTATGGTATGATCATTTTATTTACATAAATAATTATAATAATTTATAATAATTAAAATAACTTTCTTGGACAAGAAATTAAAGTTATATTTTATTATAGATCATTTATAAATTATTACATTTTAAAATTGATTACATTTTTAAATGTATCAAATAAAAATGTCAGACCAATGCATCGCACATTTTTACACTCCTGTTGTTGAGTATTTGACTGTTTTGAGTGATTGTGAAACTTTTCTTGTCTCCATCAACATTCACCATTCCAACTTCTGTCTCATTCTTCTCTTCATCCCATCATCCTCTCTTAGGCCAGTAATGGGGGTCAGAGTAGTGATTACCCCTCCTCTTTGCCTTCTACCCCTGTGGTAAGTCACAAAGACATACGGGGTGGGGCAAGTGGAGATGGGGGCTCGCAAAGAAATCTGCCCCGACGACGGACATCTTTATTTGCGGTTAGTTCTTTGAGCTCATTACAAAGATTATCAGATCTTGCCAGGTAGATTTTGTGCGACACCAGTGAAACGGTACAGAAAATTTGATATTATATCTTTCATATTTTTTTAAAATTGATTAAATTTTTAAATGTATCAAATAAAAATGTCAGACCAAATCATCGCACATTTTTACACTCCTGTTGTTGAGTATTTGACTGTTTTGAGTGATTGTAAAACTTTTCTTGTCTCCATCAACATTCACCATTCCAACTTCTGTCTCATTCTTCTCTTCATCCCATCATCCTCTCTTAGGCCAGTAATGGGGGTCAGAGTAGTGATTACCCCTCCTCTTTGCCTTCTACCCCTGTGGTAAGTCACAAAGACATACGGGGTGGGGCAAGTGGAGATGGGGGCTCGCAAAGAAATCTGCCCCGACGACGGACATCTTTATTTGCGGTTAGTTCTTTGAGCTCATTACAAAGATTATCAGATCTTGCCAGGTAGATTTTGTGCGACACCAGTGAAACGGTACAGAAAATTTGATATTATATCTTTCATATTTTCAAATACAATTGGACTTAAATCTGAATGATATATCAGAGGTGATGTGTGTCATTGTTTGATGTTGACTGGGAAACCTGTTCAAAAACAGTCATTGTTTTCTTTTTGGTGCAGAAATTTCACACTTCACCTTCAAATGCTGTCCAATAAAGCAGAAGCATGACTGTATCTTTAGTCCTAGTTTCTGTATGTGAACTCTCGTTGTCACTCTAAAATTCACCTCATCTCATGAGTCACATCTGTTTCCTTCCTTTATGTGTTTCACCTTCCTCTCGTCTGTACTTTATTTAACTTGTCTGTTATTTTAGAACCGTCGCGGGAGTGACTCTGAAAAAAGAGCTTCTGATAGCAGAAGTGACATGAGCAGTCGATCAGTTCCTATTAAACAGGTAAGTGTAAGACGTCAGCATTGACTTGAGGATAAGACTTCTGTGAGGCCCCAGAAAGTTTTGGGACATGTAGAAGACACTTTTAAATGTCTGAATCTCACTGCATTCTGAAAACAATGAATGCATTTTCTTTGTTAGGGGACTTTGTGGAAACGCAGTGAACGCTCTTTAAATAAGGAGTGGAAGAAGAAGTATGTGACGCTGTCAAACAACGGCATGCTTATGTATCATTCGAATATAAATGTGAGTAAGGCTGTTTTGCAATTCATACGGTTTTCTGTTTACAGAGCACTAAATGCTTCCTGTACGCTTCTGTTTTTATAATCACATTTTTCATTTTGCTGGGTTTTTTTTTTAGCTTTATTAGTTGCATGTAGTGTAAATGTATTATTAAATGTTATTATTTCATATTTTTAAAGAATTATTTAATAATATTGTTATTATATATTATACATTTTTATTTCAAAAATACAAAATGGAAAATACTCAATATAAAATATTATTATTCTATTATAGAATTATGTTATATTGTTATATTATAAATGCTTATAATTATATTTTGGGTGTGGATTTGTCATTTGCTTGTAATGGTTAAAATGTTTTCAGAAAAATCAATGGTACTTGCATTATTTTGCATTATAGTATTTATAAAAACCATTTCAAAACCCCAAAGCTTTTATGTTGTGCTATTTTTGGCTGTCGAAAAGAACCAGCGTATTCTAGATTGTGTAACTATTGCTCATACTATATACAGTATGTATGATTGCAGGAGTTTTTGCAGAATGCTCAAGGTAAGGAGATGGACTTATTGCGAGTTACAGTGAAGGTGCCAGGAAAGCGTCTTCATCGCGCAGCTACTCCCGGTGGACCGTCCCCTGGCCCTACTCTCGCCCCTGCGCCCGGTGTAAATGGACTCAGTAAAGACAAGCAGTCATCCGAAGGGGGAGCTACATGTAAATGAAAAACTTTTTTTCTCTCTCTCTCTCTCATTTTCAAATGTACTCGATCACAAATAAAGCAATTTGAAAGATTTCTCAATGCCATGATTTATTTTAATTTTTTTCAGCAAATCTTCTGACAGTAGAAGAGGCGTCAAGAAGTGGTTTGTCATTTCATAATGATCAGAAGGTGAAACGTTGCCCGTCATCTGTGTCTAATAAAGGCTTCAGTGTGGGTACGTAAATATTTTGTTTATGGTTTCTACTCATTCTTTCTGTAACAGTGTTGAAGAATAACTATTTAAAGGTATAGTTCACCTAAAAATGAACATTTAGTCAACATTTACACACCCTGATGTCGTTCCAAACCTGTATGAGTTTCTTTCTGATGTTTTGAAGAATGCTGGTAATCAAATAGTTGGTCTCCATTGACTTGCACAGTATTTCTTTCCCTAATATGGAAGTCAATAGGGACCAACAACTGTTTGGTTCTTCAAAATATCTTCTTTTGTGTTCAACGTAAGAAAGAAACGTATATAGATTTGACATGAGGGTAAGTAAATGATGACAAAATGATAATTTTTGGGTGAACTGTAAAAGTAGAAAGTAGAAACGCTACTAACTGGACATCATCAGCACTTTATTTCCAACATTTAGTTGTTTCATTTCAGTTGTTGGTTCATATGCAGATCTATTCATTTTGATAGTTCATTTTTAGAATTCATACAAGTCATATCACTCAATGAAATTTACAAAAGTAAAAAATTATTATTTTTTTTTGTACCAAAATATTTAGTTAAATACAGAGGTTCATGACTGCCAGCATTAGTTTTATTAGTTACATTCAATGTTAAAGGGTTAGTTCACCCAAAAATGACAGGACAGAGCTGGCATTTCGAAGCCCAAAGTCAAGAGGACAGGGACGCCTGGGTTCAGGCCATCGAAAGCCAGATCCTTGCAAGTCTACAGAGCTGTGAGAGCAGAAATAAGGTAAAGAGGGCAATAAAAATGTATCTGATCTTTATCAGCCTGACAAACATTTACTGCACAAACCGTTACAAGCTTTTGAGAACACTTATGTGCAATATGCATCAAAAGGTCCATTAAATTTTCTATGGTCAGTATATCTGTATAAAGGAATAGTTAACCCTAAAATGATAAATTGGGGAAAATCTACTCACCATCAAATCGTCCAAGATGTACATGAGCTTGTTTCTTCATCAGAACACATTTGGAGAAATTTTGCATTGCATCACTTGCTCACCAATGGATCCTCTGCAGTGAATGGGTGCCGTCAGAATGAGAGTCTAAAAAGCTGATAAACACATCACAGTAATCCAAAGTAATCCACACGACTGCAGTCCATTAGAACTGTTTTGGACTGTTTTTGCTTGTAAACAGTCCTTGAACTGTGCACTTTTCTCTCCTGATTCAGACGAGATGACTTTTTCACCAGAGAAAAATGTTAGTTTCTTACAAACACGAAGCTTTTCGCTTCACAAGACATTAATTGATAGACTGGAGTGAATTTTTGTGGTGTTTTTATCAGCTGTTTAGATTCTCATTCTGACGGCACCCATTGACATCCATTGGTGAGCAAGATATGTAATGCTACATTTCTACAAATCTGTTCTAACGAGGAAACAAACTTATCTACATCTTGGATTGCCTGAGGTTAAGTACATTTTCAGCATATTTTCATTTTTTGTTGTTCCTACTGCTAAAATAAAAGGGCAATCATTTGTTCATTTGATTGTTTCCGGACCAAAAATTATGCTGATACTATACAAATGAACAGTTTGTCCTGTAATATTACAAAATAATAGACTTACTTTTCAAATCTCAGGCTCGTAGGAACAGCCAAAGTGAAGCTGTTGCCCTGCAGGCCATTCGAAATGCCAAAGGGAACGACCTCTGTGTGGACTGTGGAGCACCAAGTAAGTGCTGAAATAATGCCTTGTATTGAAAATGTGAACAACAAAAAAGTACTGTATGTTGAGATCTCTGTCATTGTTCAGTATATAAAAACATTATGGTCTCCTTGCAGATCCAACATGGGCGAGTCTTAATCTTGGTGCTCTAATCTGCATCGAGTGTTCGGGGATACACCGGAACCTGGGGACGCACCTGTCCCGCGTGCGCTCACTAGACCTAGACGACTGGCCCAGTGAACTCACAAAAGTGCTTACGGCTATAGGCAACCATATGGCCAACAGCATTTGGGAGACCTGCACACAAGGGCGCCAAAAGTTGACACCTGAGGCAACAAGGTTAGCTGACTAAATGTAAAGAAATGTCATTGTGGACAGTGGTTCAGTCATTTTTGTTTTACAGAGGCACAAAGAAGAGCAGAAAGAAATGATGAAGCATGCACAGCTAAATTAAAAAAAACATATGCTGCAAATTTAGCCTGTTAAAATAAAAGAAATAAATGCATACACTGCAAAGTTCAAAAGTTTGGGGTTGGTAAGATTTTTTCAGTATTTTTGAAATAAGTCTTCTATACCCACCAAGACTCAGTAATAAAAACGGCAATATTGTGAAATATTATCACAATTTAATATAACTGTTTTCTATTTTAATATATTTTAAAATGTAATTTATTCCGCACAGCTAAATTAAAAAAAACATATGCTGCAAATTTAGCCTGTTAAAATAAAAGAAATAAATGCATACACTGCAAAGTTCAAAAGTTTGGGGTTGGTAAGATTTTTTCAGTATTTTTGAAATAAGTCTTCTATACCCACCAAGACTCAATAATAAAAACGGCAATATTGTGAAATATTATCACAATTTAATATAACTGTTTTCTATTTTAATATATTTAAAAATGTAATTTATTCCTGTGATGCAAAGCTGAATTTTCAACATCATTCTTCCAGTCTTCAGTGTCACACAGAAATCATTCTAATATGCTGATTTGGTGCTCAAGAAACATATTATCAGTGTTGAAAACAGTTGTGCTGCTTATATTTATAATATTTTAAAATATTTTTTGTGGAAACCCTGATACATTTTTTTTTTCAGGACACTTTGATGAGTAGAAGCTTGAATAGAAACATCACAAGAAATCTTTTGCAATGTTAAAATCTCTTTACTGTCACTTTTGATCAATTTAATGCGTCCTTGTTGAATAAAAGTATTAATTTCTTGAAAATGTCCTAATGACCAAAAATTGTGCATTCTGCTTGAAGCAAGTTTACAAACCTCCTAATGGCAGAAGAAACACTTATATTCAAAATGCATTATCTGAAAATAATTCTTACACAATTTTATACAAGTCTCAAACAAATTTGCTTCTAAATGCATAAACCTATGCTTTAAGATAATGATTTTGAAAATGATTTTTTGCAGCATTAACAAAAACATAAAAATGCAATGTAATGCAAAATTGCAATGATGCAGTCTTCATCATGACAGTGTAAAGAGATAATGGCTAATGCAGTTAGCCACTATGATAATAATTTGGCCTTTGCATTGTGTTTGTCTCAGAGAGCAGAGGGAGTCGTGGATCCGTGCCAAATATGAACAGCGGGCATTTGTGTCGCCCTTGCCGGCTCAGTGTTCAGAGGACACAATGTCGACATGGTTGCTTAAAGCAGTAATCGACAGAGACCTTCCCAGACTTCTGCTGCTCCTCGCGCACAGCACCAAGGAAGTGATCAACGTCCCGCCAGAGGGAGCAGCGCAGCAGCAGCACAGCTCTTTACATGCGGCCTGCCAGCTGGGCGACGTGGTCATGACACAGCTGCTGGTCTGGGTGAGTTATTGAGCCTGTTTCTTTGAGTTAAAGGAATAGTTCACCCAAAAATGGAAATTGGCTGAAAATGTACTCACCCTCAAACCATCCAAGATGTAGATGAGTTTATTTCTTCATAAGAACAGATTTGGAGAAATGTAGTGCAGTGTAGTTTCTCTGCAGTGAATGGGTGCCGTCAGAATGAGAGTCCTGATAACAACATCACAATAATCCACAAGAAATCCACACCACACCAGTCCATCAATGAATGTTTTGTGAAGCAAAAATCTGCATGTTTGTAAGAAACAAATCCATCATCAAGGATTTTTAACTTTAAACCGTTGCTTCCAGCTAAAATATGAATCCATAATAATGCTTCCTCCAATGAAAACTCCAACTCTCACACTAAAATATTTGTTTAGAACTGTTCTGGACTGTTTTTGCTTGTAAACTGTGCTTCATCTGTTCATATTTCACTCCTGATTCAGGCGAGATGACTTTTTCACTAGAGAAAGCAATAATATGAATAAAGGACTCATGTTTTAGATGGAAGCAAAGGTTTAAAGATAAAAACGTCTTAATGATGTATTTATTTCACACACATGCAGCTTTTCACCTCACAAGGTCTTAAGTGATAGACTGGAGTGGTGTGGATTATTGTGATGTTTTAATCAGCTGTTTGGACTCTCATTCTGACGGCACCCATTCACTGCAGAGGATCCATTGGTAAGCAAGTGATGTAATGCTAAATTTCTCCAAATCTGTTCAGATGAAGAAACAAATTCCTCTACATCTTGGATGGCCTGAGGATGAGAAAATTTTATTTTTGGGTGAATCATTCCTTTAACTCTTGCACTTTCAGGATTTCATTGTTTGCACATCTCTAATGTTTTTTTTTTTTTGCTTAATTGTTCTCAACAGTACGGCAGTGATGTGAAGTCAAAGGATCCGCAAGGTAGAACCGCTCTGACGTTGGCACGCCAAGCCGGCAGCAAAGAGTGTGCTGAGATTCTTCTCCAACACGGCTGCCCCAATGAGACGTCGCCCACCTCCCCGACACCTGTTCTGTCCCGTAAAAGTAGCATCACCAGTCTTGGCCGTGTCAATTCCAGGAGGAGGGTCTCGTAACCCATGAACATTCATGATCATATAAACATTTTCTCCAGGACCATTTTTATTTCTTCATACAGAGTTGTGTGTTCTGTGTGTCTGTGAATTCCTGTCCCAGGATATCACCAACAACGCTGTATTTATGTTTATCCCTGCGGATTCCTCAGAAAAGGGAAAAAGTAAAGAGAAAAGAAGAAACTCTTAATTGTCCATATTAGAACAGGCATTGAATGACAGCTACAAAATTTCAACATGGCTTTTTCAAAAAATGGAAACCGTTTTAACAGCTACAAAGCAATATTATTTATAATATGCTGATTAATATTCTGTAAAATACATTCATTACAAGATCAAATGTAGCTTGAGAGTTTCCCAAAGCAATCTGAGGGAATGTATTTACTGTTATGACTGTCATCGTTCTGGCTGGGGGTAATGTAATGTAAGAACATGTTTATATTCAGAAGAAATAGTATTTGTCATTGTGCATCATTTCTAAAAATTATAGACAATAAACTCTGATCTTCAACCTCTCTTTGGCACTGCTTGTTAAGTCTCCATCTTTTCTGATCAAAAAGCCAATCATTCTACATTTTAATGCCTCAAAACTTCACTATCATCGAAGGTCTGTTTATTTTCAGACAAATCACCTGGTTAAAATATACATTTTGCTATCATGCTGTATGTGTCAACACAAATGTCAAGTGACAGAGTAAGATGACTTTTATATATTGTGCATTAAAATATTCTTATTGTTTTATGAGCTCATAATGCATGTAAATGCCTAATGTTTCTTGGCCTTATTATCTCATATTTGCATTTTGCATTCATGAATACATTCGATAATAGTAAGCAACGTGGGTTTGCTTAACTGCACCTACTTTTTTTTAAAATTGTAATATAATGTTATTTGTTCAAGCAAGAAAGTCACGATTCAAAATGGAGAGATTCCTGAATGAAAAAACATTCAACATTAAACCACTGATTCTTGAGAAGTGGGACAAAACAGGGTGCAATATTGAAAAAATGAAACCTTGTACTCAGACAAATGAAACTACATTTATGTATCTTATATGTATACTAAGCTACTGAGCTATACTTTGATTCAATCTCCCAACTTTTCTCTTTTTTTATCAAAATGTGCTTTTTACCTTGGACTGTGTAATATAATTTCAACTTTATCTTTAACAGCAATCAAGATGTTTTTAACATTTCAAAAAACACATTCTGATGTTAGCAGACAGATTACACTTTCACATGTGACCAACAATTCCTCAACAAATATAAAATATCATAATCAAATATTATCAAAATATTCATCTGACGGAGGTTACAGACCTGAAAGAGTTGATACATCTGTTGGTGGTGACAAAAGCCTGAATTTGTAGTCATTTTAATGATCAAATACATTGAATCAATCAATTACTGTATTAAAACAAATACAACAAACAGTGAGTATGTTATTGTTTA